GCCTTGTTGCTACTCACAAGAAGATGTTTGCTCAGTTTTGGTCCTCTAGATTTTGTAATCTCAAGTCCTTGCTCTTGTTTCTGGCTCAGACTGGGCCTACTGAACAACCTCGTGCATCACTAGACTGACAGCTGATTGTTAGCAATGCATTTTTATTTCCCAAATGATTTGGGAGCCTGAGTTCTGCACCTGCACTGGGAAACAGCCCCTTACTTGCCTGAGGAGGCTAGTGCAGTATCCTTGCCATGGAGCTTCTGCTGGAGCATCTTTGCAAACAGGATTGCACTGTGCTAAAGACCTTGGTATTAACTTCAAAATAAACTGCTGATAATACTCACTAATATGAAACTGGCAGGAATGAATGGAGTTGACTTGTTTTGGCTTCTCAGACTTCAGCACTCCAGTTCCTGAGTGCACTCTTAGGTGTTATCTGCATCAGCCTCTAACAGAGAGGTCAGTTCATGATGATCAAAACCTTTTTCAAATGGAGACTTCTGCTGCAAGTGTTGGCAGAATCATTAATCTGTGGGACTTTCCCAATATGTCTGGGGCCACTTTTGAAGGCTGAACATCGTGTGAAAACGTTTTCCTGTGAGATCAATGGGATAATGTGTTTGTGTGTCTTCCAGCTGCAGCCCCAGTATCTCACTTAACTGATTCCTTGCTTTTAGAGTTTGTTCCCTTTTCCTGTGTAATGTATGACCTAAATTTCATACATAACTAGGTACAGAAATCTGTGCATTATTCCCTTGGATATTTTATCCTTGTTTCCTTAAATTATAAGTCATGTTACACTTTAGGTATAAGCTATGTTGATTATTAGTATTGGCTCCACTTCAACCTAAGTCAGCAAATATTTCACTATTAAACCATATATTTTTTGTGTTCTGCCTAGTTATTTTTAAAAGGAATGTATAATTATCTGTTTTCAGTAAAATTCTTACCACATTAAGTTTGACTTCTATCAGTCCTTTTATTTTTATGAAAGACTTGGCTATATTAAATGTTAGGCATTGGCCCTGGGGAGCAGAGCAAACAGTTACTGAATGTAGCTTCCCAGATTTGCCATTTTCCATGTTGTTTTCCACTGTCTTGAACAGTGGCAAAGCCCTGTCAGGTAGAAGGAGAAACCTGGTAAGGTAACTGCTCCTGATGCTTTTACTTTGTGCTTTTTAAAATATTTTTTCTTTTTCTGTGTGCTTTTTAATGGATCAAGGATTTTAGAGAGCTTTCTAGAACTCTTTTTGCTGTCCCAGGAAGATCTCTGCCTGTTAGAACATCTCTGCTGAGGAAAATCACTGCATTCTGCTGAAAAAAATATTATTTGCTGGCAGGTGAAAAGTTGAAAAAAAGTGATAATGGTTAAAATTCTAGTAACTGATGTCTTGACATGTTTGACCCCTGAGTCAAAGTAATTGTTCCTCTCCCTGATTAACTTCTGGGGGTTGAGGGCTTCAGGGCAGTGTTCTGTGATCATTCTGTCAAGCCCTTGCTGGGAAGGATGTGCTTTTCAGGAGCTGATACCAGTTTTGATACTTTTTTTTATTGCTAAGGGAGAATGAGGCACATCAGTATTCAGACTGAGCCTCAGTCATTAGGTAATGATGAATTTTCTTTATTTTCAGTTATGGCTACTACATTAACTTGGAATTCAAACGACAAGCAAAGTTTTAATCTGGAAAATGAGAAGTTCATCTATGGGCCAGATGCTTTCCTCTGGAGGGAGCAGATGCAACATTAGAGTTGAGTAAAAATAGCTTCTGCACCCATTTGAGTGATGCATCTTCTAGAATCATTAAATAAGCCTACGGGCCATTCTTATGTTAGAACAATTTATGAATGATCTAATGAAACCATGCATTTGTGTAACAGAAGGCTTTGGGTCTGTACAAAATGCTGTACTAAGGGTAAGATTGGATATAATGAAGAATATTTCTGTTGCTGTAACTGTCTGGGGCTGCTGTTGTATTTGATTAGTATTCATGGACTGTTTCTGCTGATGTTCTCAAATCATTTATGTTGAAAAATTCAAAGTCTTCATTTCAAATGTCTGATGCTGTGCCCTCTGAGACCTTGAATGATTTGTGAATTTTTGTGCATTTCTAAAATGTCACTCCTGTGATTTGTGATGCTACACAGCCTGAGCATTTCTGGTCTCTGATGCCAGCTTATCCACCTTTACTGTGGACTGTTAACTGCTTTTGAAACCAAGCCTTTAATAGCTCTTGAACAGCAGATGCTTGTTCTTTAATGGATTTCTGCAGAGATGCTACAGATCCAAGAAGGTCCAAAGCAGTTTGCTTACCACTTCTCTGAATCTTTATCTCACTGGAATGTCTTGTTCTTTATTCAGAATATAGTGGCAGCTTACTAGTAACTGCTTATGCTGAGCCCAAGCCAGAGATTGCAGTAGTGCTCAGATATATGGGGCATGTTCCTCCCAGAATTTACCTGAAACTCAATTTCTACAGTGGAATTTGGATGCGTCCTTCCTGGGCATCTGATGTTAAGCTTTTGCCAGTGTTTCTCCCAGCCCTCCAGGACAGGATCTTCTGCAGCTCATGCAGCTCATGGTTATTGTTCCTCTGTGTTTTGCTTGGCTTCAAATATATAAAAGAAAGCTCTTACTGTTTTGGAAATAAAACTTTGATTTTCAAAACACTTTTTGTTATTTTACTTTTCCTAAATGAATCCAAACCTTTGCAGTATTGGTATGTTTAAGTCAGTGGGAAAAAAAAAGTATTTAAAATTTGGAATGAAAGCTTTAAGCAGCCAAATTTGCTGGTTCTAACTCCATTCAGCTCACTAACAAAGCACTCCATTTGGAACTAATCAGAGCTCTGTGGTTTTTCTAGGCAAATTTGAAACTGCTTTGCTTTGATGTGCGTCTGCATCAGATAGTACATGAGCTCAGCCAGTCAAGACATATGGCCTAAATTAATCTTTACCAAGTATGTAAAAATTAAATCTTTATGGGAAGAATTGGGGGTTATGTGTAAACAAAATGCAAATTTCAAACTGCACGCGATGCTTGTGTGTGGATAGTGGAGAAAAGGGATTAGGAGGTAGGAGGGCAGGATGTTTTAACAAATTGCTTGTTTAGGGATTTTTCTGACACCATGTGGCTATGTTCTTACTCAGTTTCAAGTGCTGGAAGTGTTTATTTGCTGATTTATCCAACTACTTAGAACCTGGTTGTTCAGGATAACATAGTCCTGCCTGAATCTAATTTTCTGGCTTGTGCTGGTACTTCGTTGCTCTTCTGAAATCTTCCTTTGCCAGGAAGATGATGGTGTCATTGCTTAGCCTGCTGGAACTTCCTCTCAGCAGCAATCCACTAGGGGAGGGAGAGTTTAATGAGCTCCAGGAGAGACACAGTGTGAGAGAAGTTTTGGTAAAGACTGACTTTGGCAAGGAGATTTTAACTTTCCCCTTGTTCTTAAAAGTTTCATGGCTAGGAGTTCAATGGCAAGTCTTTCTAATATGAAACCTGGAGATGAAGTTCTTGTTGGCACTGGAAAGCTGTCCCGGAGAAACATACAGTGCACTTTATTTTTGATCAAAAAGCAGGCTGACAGTGCTGAAAAGGACAGCAAGCACTTAAAATCTTGCTTCCTTCACGCTCTGGGTTGGTTTCTTTGCTCATATAAGCCTTCTAATGGATGCTAAGTATATATCAAGTCTTTCACTTATTCTGCATAGAAATCTATGAACGTCAGTCGTAAAATGGAGCTTACAATAGGTAATTGTATAGAGGTCGGGATGTGCTATTTTTGACTTGCATTGTGTAGTCTGAGGTCAGTATGTAAGGCTAATGGTAGGGTGAGCAGAGTATTGTTTTGTGCATAAATTGTCCAAACTCCTGGCACTGTCTCAAGTACTTGGGGCCTGAGTGAGCCTTTTGCCTTGCAGGGATGTGCAGCCACTGGTATTAGTTCCTATGAATAAAGGACAGCTGAGTTGGTATGGAGAGATGCACTTTTTTTCCTCCATGATTCGTGGAAGGCTGAAATTCACATTAAAATCTGATTACATCTCTGTACCAGGATTTCAAGTCTAGTCAAAATGTAGTTATTGACATTGAAGTAATTCAGTTGTTAGTACGAGTGCTCTGCTTGGTCTTAACTACCTCTTTAAAGCACACTTTCCTCCTTAAAATACTTAAACCCTGTGTTCAGTACTGCTAATGTAACTATTCACCCACTTCTGCTTCTCATTACCTAGAAAACAAGAGAGTAATTGCCTTATGAGGCAGACATTGGATGTTGTACTAAAAGTAATAGATGTTTCTGTGTTGCTAAGTAATTGTGAACGCTCTTGTGCACAGCAGCTGGAGTGGGCAGTGTTCAGTGCTGCTTTTCCTAACGACTTGTAGTTTGTTCCTGTAGTACTAAATAATGGTGAAAATGTTTTCTTATGCTAGTTAGAGTTTGGAAAGTTTGCTTTGATGCAGCTTCCTGCTTGAGAATTTTTTAGTATGCACTTTTTCATTGAAAAACTTTCATTGTAGCAGGTTTTTAAATGGCAAGGATGACAAAATGAGGTTTTTTCTACTTTGGAATTTGTTCCTTGTAATCTATGTGGAAATACTTTGAAATGCCTTGAATCTGTGCAGAGAGGTGACATAAGTGATCTTTTCCAAGAGCTCTTTTCCTCTAGGTTTCATGTTGAAAAGTTAAGAGCTGCAGTGTGGAGAGGTTCACAGTCTTGCAGTATCTGTACAATTGACTGCTGTGTGACTATTGTTCAAAAAAGAATTATACTTTAAAGTAGCTTTATAGATTAGCCAAGATAATCTAGATTTGTGAATAGCTGCTGACTAAAACAACTTCTCTGAACTGTTACTTGTGAAATATCAATAGTGACACCCCTTGGTTTTAAAAGAAGCAAATGTTTCTTGGCTGCCTTCAGAGTGGTTCTGCTGACTCCAGAGGAAGGTGTGATGTTTGTGCATTCCCTCAGTTTATTTTATTGGATATTTGTGGTTTTTTTCTTTCCAGGTCACTCCAAGGTCCGAGACCCCCATCAACAGTGTCAGTAACAGTTTGGAAAATGTATTACATACATCAACACATTCCATTGAGGAGTCATTACCCAAGAGGCCTTCGGGGAAGCACTCCAAAGGTGTGTCCTTCTCCACGTGTACTTCCAGTGGGTGAATGAACTCTTATCTCCTGATGGCAAGAAATGTTATTTTAGTGGTGACTGGAGACTGGAATTTTGCTTCTTTGCTTCTGGGTTGGGTTGAGCAAAGGAAATTGTGGAAGGTTTTTTTTAGGAAGTGTTAGTGTATCAGTGAAAAATGGTTAATAAGAGACAAGAATGCTCATTGGTCTGTTGGGAAATAGGCAAGGAAGTTCCTGATGAGTTGAAATACCAGCTTAGCTTGCATGAAATACTGTATTCTTAAAGAGTGAATATCTCTGACGCTCCACCTCTCATCCTTAGAGTAGCAGGTTATTTCTTAGATGAAGCATATAGTGATGAGTGTTGCTTTACTGGGGAGAAGGCATTAGAACAGCAGTTAGGCTTTCATTTCCACTTTTCTCTTGGTTCCCAAGAATGTGTGAGAAGCTGAGGGAAGTGGAGTCGATCACCTTTCTCAGCACATGTGTGCAGCCTGAATGTTGTTACAAGCTAAGTCTTATTTTTGTAATGCTATATTGCATGCTGACCTGGCTAAAGACTGGGCTTGGGAAATTTCAGTTAATAAGGATGTGTTCCATTTCGACACTCCAGGCTGTGATTACAAATATGAATATGTCTAGGTTAAAATGTGACTAACATTTTTGTTTAATGCACACAAAAAGCACTGTGAAGCCATGAAAGTCTATGAACTGTGAGCTGCTCTTTTTGTAGAACAGCTTTTGTGAACTGTTGGTGGTATTAATAAAAATAGCTCTGTGGCAGAACTAATGCAGGGGAAATGTACCATCAAATTAACAGCACTAGAATCTTGCCTTCAAATTTCATTAAATACATTATGGACCATATACATATATTTTTATTTGAAATTGGTGCAGAGTTCTGTTTCATTCTCTGCCAATGGTTTGCTGCACAACCTTGCAAAGAGTTTAGTGCCATGTAAATTGTAATTAAGAATTTCACTTGGGGGAGCTGATACAGATTGGAAGGGGTTAAATGTCCCAAGGAGATGTTCTTAGTTTGCCTCCACAGGACCTCCTTTTCTGTGACACACTCAACTATAATCCCAGTAGCTCTAAGTAGAAATATTTTTTACAGCAGAATAGTGCTGTAAGTAGCTATTTCCCCAGCTGTAAAAGCAATCAGGGTAGAAGAAAATGCAACACTAAGCAGAAGAATGGCTAGGTTTGTGGCTTCCATCTGATTAAAAATAGGACAGGGTTCAACACTGTTTTCACTTGTACTCAGTGATTGCTATTCCAGTGCCATATATGCCAAGATTAGTCATGGTACACTGAAAATTGATTAGGTTTTCCTCTGATCTGTATTTCTCATAGAATATCTGCTTAGTTTTCAGAGAATGTAGCTTTTTAATTTATACATTGTCTTAGTGATAGTTGGTAAAAGGGGCTGTGGAGCAAATACATTTTTCTTACTAACTGATATTCTGCTTTCTGGTTCACCAGCAGCAAAGATTATGTTGTGTTCTCCTTGGTATATGACAATCTGCTTGGTTGGGAGATCTGCCTCGTAAGGTTGGAATACAACTGAAGATTGTATCTCAGCCTGGAGCCACCAGTGCTCACTTGCAGATCTCTAATTCTTGAAGCAGACAGACACATCTCTGAGTTGAGCAGGACTCCCTGACTTTTTAACCTAGAGCACATGAAATTCAACCATGAGAGTAGGAGGTGGAGAGGTTGCTTGACCAAGTCTTGTTTCAGACAGCTGGAGAGGATTTCTTCTCGTTTGAGGTCAGGAATCATGAGCTACTCAAGTTCACCATTCATCTCTTCACAAAATACTGGAGCTCGAAGTGCCTGGTTAAAAAAGCTGAAGCTGAAACAGGAGAAAAACGAAAGAGCTCACGAAAGGTGCAATATCCGTTGAGCTTAGTTGGATTAGAGACAATTTGTATTAATCCAGTGAATGGTTTTAATCCTGATTTGTTGAAATGTCAGTAGTATAACATACTCTGTATAGAGCTGAACAGTGAATGGGTTTGTTTTAGGCTTGGACCTGAAAGGTACCAGTAGCTGTATTTTCCCTAATCCACACTTTAAAACTAGCTTTTAGCATAAAGTATCCCAAGTTTCTACATGGGATAGAGATGAGAAGAGTGGAATATAGGAAGATCTTGTACCTGTTGACACAAGTACATCAGGTGTCTCTGCTTTATCTGGACTTTTCTTTTGTAAATAAAGTTAACTTTGGCCTATGCAAGTTGAGAAAAAAATACATCTATTGACATAGAGGGATGTGGATCTCTTAAGTGTAATAGCTGTAACGTGCGGTGTAGGTTGTGCTTTTACTCATGTTCTTGGATCAGTGATTGAGAATTGTTCAAACCTGTTTTCCCATATCTGGAAGTCATTTTAACTGGAAGCAGCTTTGAAAAGTGGAGACTTTCCCTGTTCTCAGGGGCTGGCTATTGTGCGTTGAAGCTGCAGACAGGCATATTTACAGGTTTTAAGGTACTGACATATCTTGCTGGTCAAGGAGAACAGAAGCAAATAGACTCCTGTGTTCCACCTAACTGGAATTCCAAGAAGGGTGTATTGATAGATATTTCTGTTTCACTTTCCACTGTTACCAGAATGTAGTCAGGTTTTAATTACGGTTTTAACACTGGTCTGAACAAAATAACCAAATTCAAATTAAGGTTGGGCATTTTTAGCATACAGCTCTGTATGCCACACTGTTTTCCTTGTGTTGCCCTGGGCTTTCTTCCACAATACTATGAGAACTGAAGCAGTGCAACTAGAGTTGTAGAAGGTGTTAGTGTCAGAAATATTGATTCCAGTTCCAAAGATGAGATTTCATGCTTGCAAATGCTTGCTTGATAGGCCTGTACTTCAGCAACAGTGCAGCTGTTTGGTGATGGTTCCTTCCACAGCCAGGGTTGCTTCTCTGCACAATGCTAGCAAACTTCCTTGGAGGGATTCTGACAAAGGCACCTGATACTGGTGGTCTTCTCTTCAGGATTTTACCTTACATTTCCTGGGGAGCTACCTCAGCCTTTTCCCAGCAGCACGTGGTGGTTCATGAAGGTCACTGGTTACAAATAGTATATTCACTAGCAAGTTTTGTTATGTAGACACGCCTGTGCTGGTAGCTAAGGGAAGTTGAGTCCTTAAGCCAAAGTCCAGAAGGAGGCATCTGACCTATGGGAAGTCCCATTCACAGAGCTAATTCCTAACAAGCCTATGGATATAGAGTTGTTCTGACCTTGTGTGGCAATTCTCAAAAGAGGGTAGCTAAGGTCAGCAAAGCTGAAGGAAAAATTCAACTTCTTTTGTTTCTTAAAGTGATAGAAATCTCCTGTACCCCAGAAATGTTGTTTTATAGCAAGGTTCTGAGCAGAAGGATTTGGCCATTAGGTGGATAGCACTGCAGGCAAGCACTGCTCTATGCATGTGGTATATTTTAGCAATGTATTAAACATGGTCAGTGACCACAGCATATTTTCCAAAAGCTCAGTGGAATAAAGTACATTAGAGCAGAAGTTGAAGTGCAGAACAAAGGAATCTTTATTAAAAAAGCAATGTAAGTTGCAAAATGTTGCAGTATGGACTGTGCTGTCTTCATGCTGTAATTTCTCATAATACTTGAGTAAAATTTTGATTTATCATGGGCTTTGTTTTAAATTTTCTCTAGTGAAGATTCTGTCTTGGTATTTATAAGATGTTCATTACTGCTGTGGGGGTCTTCAGGTGGCACTTACCTCTGTTTTCTCCTTGAAACAGTCTGGAAGATGGTTTCTTCAGCTGAACAAGTCTCATTTTCTGCCAAGTGACAAAAATGCCTTTCTTCTTGTGTTTCCTGTGTATTTATCTCTCTGCTGTTGCCACACAAAACCTCAAAATTGTCTCCAAGCCAGTCTGATTTCAAATGAAGCAACTGTTGAAATACGATCCTTATATAGTGAAGCTGAATCACAATTGTTGCAACACATGCATCTAATGATAGGCACAAACTGCTTTCTGTGGACAGAGGAGTAAAGCTTTTAGATGTGAAGTGGGTGCAGTAGGCTTTATTCTCCAATCAGAACTCCACTTAGTACTCCTGCAGAGCACAGTGAAATTTCTTGCTTAATTGAAGGTCTGCTATTAACCCACATACAGGGTCCTGCAAAGGACCTCGACAGCATCCCAGGCCAGAATACAGAGAATAGGACATGACTTACAGGATGAAAGGAGCTGCAGTCTGTGGACATGAGGAGAAACAGACTTTAGAGAAAATGCATCTCAGTAATGTACTGATTTAATCTAGGATTCATATTAGGATGCAAAATATATCTTTGTAGTAATCCTGTTGACTTCAGGCAGGATATGAGTTGCAGGTAGGTTAAGATGGCTGTTTCAAGCAGCAAGCTCTGGTATCCTAGTTGTTCCATTACAATAGTCACTAAAAATGTGTGGTATAAGCTCTCCAGCACTTATAACCACTAATTTTTGCAACCCAGTTTATTTTCTTTGGCAAAATGGGTTTTTTTTAATGGGCTTGCACCTTTTTTGTCTCCTGTTTCCTTGACTCATCCATTTTTCCAGAAGAAATTAGGCTGCAGGAGCTGTCTTAGTGGCAATCAACAGGCTTTTCCTCCTGAATGTTTGACACCAGTTGTTCAGTCTGTTGAAGGCAGGGAGAAGATACAGGGGGAGGAAAAAAGCTCTGAAATCCTTTTGATTCAGAGTCTAGACTTCATAGTGCCTTGTTCTGCATCAGTTGTGTAGTTGGAGTTCTATTTTTAAGTAGATACCTCATCTCCAACAATACTGGGTCAGCTACTCTTGGGGTAGGGCTTAAGGAAATATTTAGGCTATGATAATCCTTCAGGAAAAATCTCCCTCTACCAACTGTATATAATTTTTCAGCTGTTTGTATATGTCTTCATTCATTTTGTCTCTGAAGCAGAACTCTGCCTCTAAACTTCAGCAGTGTTAGGTTGTTAGATCACACACAGGGCTTTGCATTCCTGA